GTGCACTGCTATCTGTAAAATTATTCCGAAGACTTTGGAATGCAATAAAAGAACCTTGACAATGTTTGCGAAGGATTTATTTATTCCAGATTATCTTTGCTTCTTTATTTCTTCCTCCTCACCCAATGCATCACATACGCGTGCCTTCGTGGAAAACGGATGGCATTTAGAAGTGAATCGCGAAACTTTTTATCGGCAGTCAAGGTTTAATTATATACCGTACAAAAATTATCAAGATAAGTGTTCATTTTTGTTTTAAACTTTATATATATATATATATATATATATATATATATATATATATATATATGACAAGCCCCTGGGGTCAGTGGTAATTAAAAAACTTGTTTTTAACTCAGTATTGTTGAATTAATTATAAAATACATTGGGCAGCACCAATATATTTATTTATAAGTGTAATATATCAGTGTATATTTTAATGTATTTTTTATTATATCAAAAGGTATTTTGTTTGTTTACTTTCAGTACATTAATATCTTTTTAAATAAGGTTTTGTTCTGGAGTTTTCAATATGCTCGCACCCTCAAGGGAGCACACCCCACAGTTTAAGAAACACTGCCTTAAACTCGTAAGTCTCACCGACGTATAAAAATGTCTTAGTCAGCCAATGCATTAATTGGGCCGGACGTATACATGCGCCTTTCTGAAGTATGATCTTTTCTAAGAACTTCTATCCATAGAATTTTTCCGAAAGCTTTGTAATGGCAGTGTTTGCGAACGATTTACATATCTCAGAGGATTTTCTTCTTTATTCCTCTTTTATCCCCCCTCTTTTTCAATACTTCTCATACACCCGTCTACATGAAAATACAGTGCATTAGGGAGTCAACCATATAACTTTTAATCTCGGCAGTTAAGGGATTAATTATAAACTATACAAATTATCAAGATAAGTGATAATTTTTGTATATAATTGTTTATATGACAAGCTCATGAAGTCACTGGTATAATTATTAAATTTCCTCTTAACTTAATATTGTTCAATTACTTATAAAATATATTGTGAAGTACTGATACATTTATAATTGTATTATATTAGTATAAATGTGTATTTTATTTTTTATTATGCCATAATGTATTTTGTTTGGTTACTTTCAGCAAATTAATTATTTTTTTAAAATAATCTTTTGTTTTCGACTTTTTAATATCCTCGCACCCCCCTTGTACCGTTATCACGCCCCCTAGGGGGCGCACCCCAGAGTTTGAGAAACGCTGTCTTAGACCGATAGTATGATGTGTTCCAATTTATCATTAAAAATTCATCAGGAAGTGGTTAAGTAACCAAAGAGAGAGGTTACTTAAACACTTCCTGATGAATTTTCAATCGAATATTAATCTTAAGATGCGTGACAACCAGAGTCGATGTTTACTAACACTTGGAATTCAGCTTAACGATCTCAACACTTACCATTAACTCCTGTACTGACATGCACTTAAATAGTAGTTACATTTGCATAACATTAAGTCATCTCTAAGCAAAGCGGTTTTTAAACTAAAATCACAGTTAAAGAATATTTTTCCCAAGAGGATTAATGGAAGACTCGAATATAGAACCCGTTACAGCTTTCGCTTGCACGAGGTTGACAAAAATCCAGTTGACACTTGTTATGATATGGACTCAATGCTAGGTATCTTAATGATGATCTACTCCTTATACCTGCGTTGGATAGTCGTCTCCGAAAGGTTTCCCTCGATGCCTTCGATTAATGAATGGGGTCGAGCTGATTCTAGTGACGCTGTTGGTAAGGACGTGGTTGATCGTAGGGTTGCGCAATCATCGCGTGCATTACTGTTCCTGTGACGCTTCCTTACCTTTCACCACAGTAGACTATTTCTTCTGTGATCCACTGTTGCCAACACCAAGCAACTACCATATCGCTCCGACCTAAGTGGTGGCCGATACGAATGTTCGACCAAAATGATTCTGTAAGACTTAATATATGCCTCCTCTCAAAGTCGGCAATTGTCCGTATCGCAACCTCATATGTCTCCGAGGCATCTTTAGTCACAATGCCGTCCATCGAAGGCGACAGATTTATTTGAATAGCCCTATAACACGAATAATCAAGCTTTTAATCTCTCCCAGCTGCGCATGTCACATGCGCATAGCGCGCTTACCATTATCTTGTGCATATCTTACCATATTCTGGGTGAATATATTTTTTTTTGTGACAAATTGTATAAGTGGATAACTGAACTCAAGCTGTACCTAAACAAGTTGCTAGTTGACGCGACAACCCTTGAGTAGAAACAGAGATAAGATGATTTAAGCAAGTTCTAGCAGGTTGTTTCGAGAAATTTCCATCAGGGGAAGAGCAAACACTTGTAGGATTTCACAAACTCTATATGGAACAAGTAATATATATATATATATATTAAAGTCAATTCCTACTTAGATCAACAAAGCGAAATTTTATTTTAGTTACTTTTCTTAAATAATTACAGTTAATATAAATATGTATATTTATGTGACAGAATTACAATATTAAGTGGCTAAACATCTTTTAAATTAATATTATGAGCTTTTTAACCACTTTAAATTTGTAATTACAGTTTTTAATTAAAGTTGAATATAATAGTCAAAAATTTATCTTAAAACTAATGTTAAAGGATTGCTGATGTATAACTAGCATATGATTTTTGAAGTCCAGTTAAATCTTCATCCCAAACTTAACAAAAACATTTTTATTCAATAGTGCTGCCATCTAGAGGGATAATTTTGACTGAAATATATCTCTTAAACTATAAATAGTTAAATTTAATTAATGAATTGATATATATATATATATATATATATATATATATATATATATATATATATATATATATATATATATATATATAAAATAAACTGTATTAATATTAGGCGTCATCCACTACAAGTTTAAAAACTGTTTTTGAACTTGAGAGTGGATAAGTAAAAAGTATTTTCTTAATGATTGAAAATTTGAACAAGATATATAATTAAATATATATAAGGAGAGTGTGAACTAATAATAGGAATTGGAGAAAAATAACGCATACTTTGCTGTCGCGATAGAGGTTAGTACTCGGTATATGGCGCTGATGTGTGACATGAAAGGATGCCATTATTATATTAAAGCTAAATATATTAAATATTTTTAACAAATTGGGCTTCAAACGCATAGAGAGAAAAAACAACATGAAATGCGTTAAAAATTAAAATATGATTTAAAATTAAACATTATAGAAGAAATGATCGAAATGATTCCATAGTGCAAAAGAAAGAAATCGTTAAAAGAAACTGAACATTTTTTTTTAAAAAATACAATTAAAACCATTAATAACTAAAAATATAAAATCTATAAACATGAGAAAAATTGCGATATACCAAATGATATCTCAACTTAAGATATCTAATATTTTGCATCATTTTATTTAATTTTAACTTATCTCTCTTTGAAACAGCCTCAATAATTCAATTTACATTGCAAAAAACACAAAGTTTACCAACCTCATTAATTTTTCTGATATTAAATACTATACATTTCTCAATGCTTGATGTAACCGGGGTAGCCTAATGGTTAGTGGTTAAATATGTGAGATCTTCATTAAAAAGCTGAAACGACTAAAGAGTCGAGCCAGTCAAGGATTCTAACCTAGAATCTCCTGATCCGTAGTTAGGCGCGTTATACATTGCGCCACTGGCCCACGGAAACGAAATCAATAATTACCTAAAAATATTTTAATGCTGAAGTGTAATTTTTAAATTGAAAATTTTGTACCAAGAGAAATGTGTATTAAATATAGAGACTGCCAGGATTTAAATCTGAAATTTACTGATACCGTATGAATTGCGCGTTAGGTGACTAACTCACGTAACATGAAAAAATTATCTTTGTTTTGGAATTTTAGTATTTTTTCGTTAGTAGCAATTTAAAATTGGGAAATCTTTAATAAAAAGCTAAAGCGCTTCTGAGAATCGAGCCAGCCAAGATTCGAACCTGGAATCTCCTGATTCGTAGTCAGGCGCGTTATCCATTGCGCCACGGACCCACGTAAATGAAATATATGCCTTTTTTAAGCTATTAATATTTTAGTACTGAAGTAAAATGTTTAAATCGACAATTTTGCACCAAGAGAAATGTGTATTGAATATAGAGACTACCAGGATTTAAATCTGAAATTTACTTATACCATACGAAATGCACGTAAGGCAACCAACACACATAACATGAAAATTATATTTGTTTTGGAACTTCAATATTTTTGGTTAGTAACGAGTTAAATATGAGAGATATTCATTAAAAAGCTAAAACGATTAAAAATTCGAGCCAGCCAGATTCGAACCTGGAGTCTCCTGATCCGTAGTCAGGTGCGATATCCTGTGCGCCACTGGCCCACGGAAAAGAAATCAATAATTACCTAAAAATATTATAATGCTGAAGTGTAATTTTTATATTGAAAATTTTGTACCAAGAGAAGTGTGTATTAAATATTGAGTCTGCCAGGATTTAAATTTGAAATTTACTGATATCATATGAAATGCGCGTTAGAAAACTAACTCACGTAACATGAAAATTATATTTGTTTTGAAACTTCAATATTTTTTTGTCAGTAACGAGTTAAATATGTGAGATCTTCATTAAAAAGCTGAAACGATTAAAGTTTCCAGCCAGCCAAGACTCGAAACTGGAATCTCCTGACCAATAGTTAGGCGATTTATCCATTCCGCCACAGGCCCACGTAAATGAAATCTATACATACTTTACGATAAAAATATTTTAGTCTTGAAGTAAAATTTTTAAATTCATAATTTGTACAAATTAAAATGTGTATGAAATACTGAGACTGCCAGTATTTATATCTGAAATTTACTGATACCATATGAAATGCGCATTAGGTGACAAACTCACGTAACATGAAAACTATCTTCTTTTGGAATTTCAATATTTTTTCGTTAGTAGCAATTTAGATTTGCGAGATCTTTAATAAAAAGCTAAAGCGCTTCAGAGATTCGTACCAGTCAGGATTCGAACCTGGAGTCTCCTTATCGGTAGTCAGGCGCGTTATCCACTGCGCAACTGGCCCACGGAAACGGATTCAATAATTACCTAAAAATATTTTAATGCTGAAGTGTAATTTTTAAATTGAAAATTTTGTACCAAGAGAAGTGTGTATTAAATAATGAGACTGTCATGATTTATATCTGAAATTTACTGATATCATATGAAATGTGCGTTAGAAAACTAACTCACGTAAAATGAAAATTATATTTGTTTTGAAACTTCAATATTTTTTTGTCAGTAAGGAGTTAAATATGTGAGATATTCATTAAAAAGCTGAAACGTTGGAGATTCGAGCCAGCCAAGACTCGAATCTCCTGATCCATAGTTAGGTGATTTATCCATTGCGCCACAGGCCCACGTAAATGAAATCTATATCTACTTTACGATAAAAATATTTTAGTCTTGAAGTAAAATTTTTAAATTCATAATTTGTACAAATTAAAATGTGTATGAAATACTGAGACTGCCAGTATTTATATCTGAAATTTACTGATACTATATGAAATGCGCCTTAGGTGACTAACTCACGTAACATGAAAACTATCTTTGTTTTGGAATTTCAATATTTTTTCGTTAGTAGCAATTTAGATTTGCGAGATCTTTATAAAAAGCTAAAGCGCTTCAGAGATTCGAGCCAGCCAGGATTCGAACCTGGAGTCTCCTGATCCGTAGTCAGGCGCGTTATCCATTGCGCCACTGGCCCACGGAAACGGAATCAATAATTACCTAAAAATATTTTAATGCTGAAGTGTTATTTTAAAATCGACAATTTTGTACCAAGAGAAATGTGTATTAAATATTAAGACTGCCAGGATTTAAGTTTTAAATTTACTGATACTATATGAAATACACGTTAGGTGACTAACTTACGTAACATGAAAATTATATCTGTTTTGAAACTTCAATATTTTTTGTCAGTAGCGAGTTAAAATGCGAGATCTTTTATAAAAAGCTAAAGCGCTTTAGAGATTCGAGCCAGCCAGGATTCGAACCTGGAATCTCCTGATCCGTAGTCAGGCGAGTTATCCATTGCGCCACAGGCCCACGTAAATGAAATCTATACCTACTTTACGATAAAAATATTTTAGTCTTGAAGTAAAATGTTTAAATTGACAATTTTAAACCAATTGAAATGTGTATGAAATACTGAGACTGCCAGTATTTAAATCTGAAATTTACTGATAACGTATGAATTGCGAATTAGGTGACTAACTCACGTAACATGAAATGTATCTTTGTTTTGGAATTTTAATATTTTTTCTTTAGTAGCAATTTAAAAATGCGAGATCTTTATTAAAAAGCTAAAGCGCTTCAAAGATTCGAGCCAGCCAGGATTCGAACCTGGAATCTCCTGATCCGTAGTCAGGCGCGTTATCCATTGCGCCACTGGCCCACGGAAACGAAATCAATAATTACCTAAAAATATTTTAATGCTGAAGTGTAAAATTAAATTGAAAATTTTGTACCAAGAGAAGTGTGTATTAAATATTGAGACTGCCATGATTTAAATCTGAAATTTACTGATATCATTTGAAATGCGAATTAGGTGACTAACTCACGCAACATGAAAACTACCTTTGTTTTGAAATTTCAATATTTTATCGTTAGTAGCAATTTAAAGTTGCGAGATCTTTATTAAAAGGCTAAAACGCTTCAGAGATTCGAGCCAGCCAGGATTCGAACCTGGAATCTCCTGATCCGTAGTCAGGCGCGTTATCCATTGCGCCACTGGCCCACGGAAACGGAATCAATAATTACCTAAAAATATTTTAATGCTGAAGTGTTATTTTAAAATCGACAATTCTGTACCAAGAGAAATGTGTATTAAATATTAAGACTGCCAGGATTTAAGTCTTAAATTTACTGATACTATATGAAATACATGTAAGGTGACTAACTTACGTAACATGAAAACTATATCTGTTTTGAAACCTGAATATTTTTTCGTTAGTAGCAAGTTAAAATGGCGAGATCTTTTTATAAAAAGCTAAAGCGCTTTAGAGATACGAGCCAGCCAGGATTCGAACCTGGAATCTCCTGATCCGTAGTCAGGCGCGTTATCCATTGCGCCACTGGCCCACGTAAATGAAATACATACCTTTTTAAAGCTATTACTATTTTAGTACTGAAGTAAAATGTTTAAATTGACAATTTTAAACCAATTGAAATGTGTATGAAATACTGAGACTGCCAGTATTTAAATCAGAAATTTACTGATAACGTATGAATTGCGAATTAGGTGACTAACTCACGTAACATGAAATGTGTCTTTGTTTTGGAATTTTAATATTTTTTCTTTAGTAGCAATTTAAAAATGCGAGATCTTTAAGAAAAAGCTAAAGCGCTTCAAAGATTCGAGCCAGCCAGGATTCGAACCTGGAATCTCCTGATCCGTAGTCAGGCGCGTTATCCATTGCGCCACTAGCCCACGGAAACGAAATCAATAATTACCTAAAAATATTTTAATGCTGAAGTGTAAAATTAAATTGAAAATTTTGTACCAAGAGAAGTGTGTATTAAATATTGAGACTGCCATGATTTAAATCTGAAATTTACTGATATCATTTGAAATGCGAATTAGGTGACTAACTCACGCAACATGAAAACTACCTTTGTTTTGAAATTTCAATATTTTATCGTTAGTAGCAATTTAAAGTTGCGAGATCTTTATTAAAAGGCTAAAACGCTTCAGAGATTCGAGCCAGCCAGGATTCGAACCTGGAGTCTCCTGATCCGTAGTCAGGCGCGTTATCCATTGCGCCACTGGCCCACGGAAACGGAATCAATAATTACCTAAAAATATTTTAATGCTGAAGTGTTATTTTAAAATCGACAATTCTGTACCAAGAGAAATGTGTATTAAATATTAAGACTGCCAGGATTTAAGTCTTAAATTTACTGATACTATATGAAATACATGTAAGGTGACTAACTTACGTAACATGAAAACTATATCTGTTTTGAAACCTGAATATTTTTCGTTAGTAGCATGTTAAAATGGCGAGATCTTTTTTAAAAAGCTAAAGCGCTTTAGAGATATTCGAGCCAGCCAGGATTCGAACCTGGAATCTCCTGATCCGTAGTCAGGCGCGTTATCCATTGCGCCACTGGCCCACGTAAATGAAATACATACCTTTTTAAAGCTATTACTATTTTAGTACTGAAGTAAAATGTTTAAATTGACAATTTTAAACCAATTGAAATGTGTATGAAATACTGAGACTGCCAGTATTTAAATCAGAAATTTACTGATAACGTATGAATTGCGAATTAGGTGACTAACTCACGTAACATGAAATGTGTCTTTGTTTTGGAATTTTAATATTTTTTCTTTAGTAGCAATTTAAAAATGCGAGATCTTTAAGAAAAAGCTAAAGCGCTTCAAAGATTCGAGCCAGCCAGGATTCGAACCTGGAATCTCCTGATCCGTAGTCAGGCGCGTTATCCATTGCGCCACTAGCCCACGGAAACGAAATCAATAATTACCTAAAAATATTTTAATGCTGAAGTGTAAATTAAATTGAAAATTTTGTACCAAGAGAAGTGTGTATTAAATATTGAGACTGCCATGATTTAAATCTGAAATTTACTGATATCATTTGAAATGCGAATTAGGTGACTAACTCACGCAACATGAAAACTACCTTTGTTTTGAAATTTCAATATTTTATCGTTAGTAGCAATTTAAAGTTGCGAGAACTTTATAAAAAGCTAAAGCGCTTTAGAGATTCGAGCCAGCCAGGATTCGAACCTGGAATCTCCTGATCCGTAGTCAGGCGCGTTATCCATTGCGCCACTAGCCCACGGAAACGAAATCAATAATTACCTAAAAATATTTTAATGCTGAAGTGTATTTTTAAATTGAAAATTTTGTACCAAGAGAAGTGTGTATTAAATATTGAGACTGCCATGATTTAAATCTGAAATTTACTGATATCATTTGAAATGCGAATTAGGTGACTAACTCACGCAACATGAAAAACTACCTTTGTTTTGAAATTTCAATATTTTATCGTTAGTAGCAATTTAAAGTTGCGAGATCTTTATTAAAAGGCTAAAACGCTTCAGAGATTCGAGCCAGCCAGGATTCGAACCTGGAGTCTCCTGATCCGTAGTCAGGCGCGTTATCCATTGCGCCACTGGCCCACGGAAACGGAATCAATAATTACCTAAAAATATTTTAATGCTGAAGTGTTATTTTAAAATCGACAATTCTGTACCAAGAGAAATGTGTATTAAATATTAAGACTGCCAGGATTTAAGTCTTAAATTTACTGATACTATATGAAATACATGTAAGGTGACTAACTTACGTAACATGAAAACTATATCTGTTTTGAAACCTGAATATTTTTTCGTTAGTAGCATGTTAAAATGGCGATATCTTTTTATAAAAAGCTAAAGCGCTTTAGAGATTCGAGCCAGCCAGGATTCGAACCTGGAATCTCCTGATCCGTAGTCAGGCGCGTTATCCATTGCGCCACTGGCCCACGTAAATGAAATACATACCTTTTTAAAGCTATTACTATTTTAGTACTGAAGTAAAATGTTTAAATTGACAATTTTAAACCAATTGAAATGTGTATGAAATACTGAGACTGCCAGTATTTAAATCAGAAATTTACTGATAACGTATGAATTGCGAATTAGGTGACTAACTCACGTAACATGAAATGTGTCTTTGTTTTGGAATTTTAATATTTTTTCTTTAGTAGCAATTTAAAAATGCGAGATCTTTAAGAAAAAGCTAAAGCGCTTCAAAGATTCGAGCCAGCCAGGATTCGACCTGGAATCTCCTGATCCGTAGTCAGGCGCGTTATCCATTGCGCCACTAGCCCACGGAAACGAAATCAATAATTACCTAAAAATATTTTAATGCTGAAGTGTAAAATTAAATTGAAAATTTTGTACCAAGAGAAGTGTGTATTAAATATTGAGACTGCCATGATTTAAATCTGAAATTTACTGATATCATTTGAAATGCGAATTAGGTGACTAACTCACGCAACATGAAAACTACCTTTGTTTTGAAATTTCAATATTTTATCGTTAGTAGCAATTTAAAGTTGCGAGATCTTTATTAAAAGGCTAAAACGCTTCAGAGATTCGAGCCAGCCAGGATTCGAACCTGGAGTCTCCTGATCCGTAGTCAGGCGCGTTATCCATTGCGCCACTGGCCCACGGAAACGGAATCAATAATTACCTAAAAATATTTTAATGCTGAAGTGTTATTTTAAAATCGACAATTCTGTACCAAGAGAAATGTGTATTAAATATTAAGACTGCCAGGATTTAAGTCTTAAATTTACTGATACTATATGAAATACATGTAAGGTGACTAACTTACGTAACATGAAAACTATATCTGTTTTGAAACCTGAATATTTTTTCGTTAGTAGCATGTTAAAATGGCGATATCTTTTTTAAAAAGCTAAAGCGCTTTAGAGATACGAGCCAGCCAGGATTCGAACCTGGAATCTCCTGATCCGTAGTCAGGCGCGTTATCCATTGCGCCACTGGCCCACGTAAATGAAATACATACCTTTTTAAAGCTATTACTATTTTAGTACTGAAGTAAAATGTTTAAATTGACAATTTTAAACCAATTGAAATGTGTATGAAATACTGAGACTGCCAGTATTTAAATCAGAAATTTACTGATAACGTATGAATTGCGAATTAGGTGACTAACTCACGTAACATGAAATGTGTCTTTGTTTTGGAATTTTAATATTTTTTCTTTAGTAGCAATTTAAAAATGCGAGATCTTTAAGAAAAAGCTAAAGCGCTTCAAAGATTCGAGCCAGCCAGGATTCGAACCTGGAATCTCCTGATCCGTAGTCAGGCGCGTTATCCATTGCGCCACTAGCCCACGGAAACGAAATCAATAATTACCTAAAAATATTTTAATGCTGAAGTGTAAAATTAAATTGAAAATTTTGTACCAAGAGAAGTGTGTATTAAATATTGAGACTGCCATGATTTAAATCTGAAATTTACTGATATCATTTGCCCAATGCGAATTAGGTGACTAACTCACGCAACATGAAAACTACCTTTGTTTTGAAATTTCAATATTTTATCGTTAGTAGCAATTTAAAGTTGCGAGATCTTTATTAAAAGGCTAAAACGCTTCAGAGATTCGAGCCAGCCAGGATTCGAACCTGGAGTCTCCTGATCCGTAGTCAGGCGCGTTATCCATTGCGCCACTGGCCCACGGAAACGGAATCAATAATTACCTAAAAATATTTTAATGCTGAAGTGTTATTTTAAAATCGACAATTCTGTACCAAGAGAAATGTGTATTAAATATTAAGACTGCCAGGATTTAAGTCTTAAATTTACTGATACTATATGAAATACATGTAAGGTGACTAACTTACGTAACATGAAAACTATATCTGTTTTGAAACCTGAATATTTTTTCGTTAGTAGCAATTTAAAATGGCGATATCTTTTTATAAAAAGCTAAAGCGCTTTAGAGATTCGAGCCAGCCAGGATTCGAACCTGGAATCTCCTGATCCGTAGTCAGGCGCGTTATCCATTGCGCCACTGGCCCACGTAAATGAAATACATACCTTTTTAAAGCTATTACTATTTTAGTACTGAAGTAAAATGTTTAAATTGACAATTTTAAACCAATTGAAATGTGTATGAAATACTGAGACTGCCAGTATTTAAATCAGAAATTTACTGATAACGTATGAATTGCGAATTAGGTGACTAACTCACGTAACATGAAATGTGTCTTTGTTTTGGAATTTTAATATTTTTTCTTTAGTAGCAATTTAAAAATGCGAGATCTTTAAGAAAAAGCTAAAGCGCTTCAAAGATTCGAGCCAGCCAGGATTCGAACCTGGAATCTCCTGATCCGTAGTCAGGCGCGTTATCCATTGCGCCACTGCGCCAGCCCACGGAAACGAAATCAATAATTACCTAAAAATATTTTAATGCTGAAGTGTAAAATTAAATTGAAAATTTTGTACCAAGAGAAGTGTGTATTAAATATTGAGACTGCCATGATTTAAATCTGAAATTTACTGATATCATTTGAAATGCGAATTAGGTGACTAACTCACGCAACATGAAAACTACCTTTGTTTTGAAATTTCAATATTTTATCGTTAGTAGCAATTTAAAGTTGCGAGATCTTTATTAAAAGGCTAAAACGCTTCAGAGATTCGAGCCAGCCAGGATTCGAACCTGGAATCTCCTGATCCGTAGTCAGGCGCGTTATCCATTGCGCCACTGGCCCACGGAAACGAAATCAATAATTACCTAAAAATATTTTAATGCTGAAGTGTAATTTTTAAATTGAAAATTTTGTACCAAGAGAAGTGTGTATTAAATATTGAGACTGCCATGATTTAAATCTGAAATTTACTGATATCATTTGAAATGCGAATTAGGTGACTAACTCACGTAACATGAAAACTACCTTTGTTTTGAAATTTCAATATTTTATCGTTAGTAGCAATTTAAAGTTGCGAGATCTTTATTAAAAGGCTAAAACGCTTCAGAGATTCGAGCCAGCCAGGATTCGAACCTGGAGTCTCCTGATCCGTAGTCAGGCGCGTTATCCATTGCGCCACTGGCCCACGGAAACGGAATCAATAATTACCTAAAAATATTTTAATGCTGAAGTGTTATTTTAAAATCGACAATTCTGTACCAAGAGAAATGTGTATTAAATATTAAGACTGCCAGGATTTAAGTCTTAAATTTACTGATACTATATGAAATACATGTAAGGTGACTAACTTACGTAACATGAAAACTATATCTGTTTTGAAACCTGAATATTTTTTCGTTAGTAGCATGTTAAAATGGCGATATCTTTTTATAAAAAGCTAAAGCGCTTTAGAGATTCGAGCCAGCCAGGATTCGAACCTGGAATCTCCTGATCCGTAGTCAGGCGCGTTATCCATTGCGCCACTGGCCCACGTAAATGAAATACATACCTTTTAAAGCTATTACTATTTTAGTACTGAAGTAAAATGTTTAAATTGACAATTTTAAACCAATTGAAATGTGTATGAAATACTGAGACTGCCAGTATTTAAATCAGAAATTTACTGATAACGTATGAATTGCGAATTAGGTGACTAACTCACGTAACATGAAATGTGTCTTTGTTTTGGAATTTTAATATTTTTTCTTTAGTAGCAATTTAAAAATGCGAGATCTTTAAGAAAAAGCTAAAGCGCTTCAAAGATTCGAGCCAGCCAGGATTCGAACCTGGAATCTCCTGATCCGTAGTCAGGCGCGTTATCCATTGCGCCACTAGCCCACGGAAACGAAATCAATAATTACCTAAAAATATTTTAATGCTGAAGTGTAAAATTAAATTGAAAATTTTGTACCAAGAGAAGTGTGTATTAAATATTGAGACTGCCATGATTTAAATCTGAAATTTACTGATATCATTTGAAATGCGAATTAGGTGACTAACTCACGCAACATGAAAAAACTACCTTTGTTTTGAAATTTCAATATTTTATCGTTAGTAGCAATTTAAAGTTGCGAGATCTTTATTAAAAGGCTAAAACGCTTCAGAGATTCGAGCCAGCCAGGATTCGAACCTGGAGTCTCCTGATCCGTAGTCAGGCGCGTTATCCATTGCGCCACTGGCCCACGGAAACGGAATCAATAATTACCTAAAAATATTTTAATGCTGAAGTGTTATTTTAAAATCGACAATTCTGTACCAAGAGAAATGTGTATTAAATATTAAGACTGCCAGGATTTAAGTCTTAAATTTACTGATACTATATGAAATACATGTAAGGTGACTAACTTACGTAACATGAAAACTATATCTGTTTTGAAACCTGAATATTTTTTCGTTAGTAGCATGTTAAAATGGCGATATCTTTTTATAAAAAGCTAAAGCGCTTTAGAGATACGAGCCAGCCAGGATTCGAACCTGGAATCTCCTGATCCGTAGTCAGGCGCGTTATCCATTGCGCCACTGGCCCACGTAAATGAAATACATACCTTTTTAAAGCTATTACTATTTTAGTACTGAAGTAAAATGTTTAAATTGACAATTTTAAACCAATTGAAATGTGTATGAAATACTGAGACTGCCAGTATTTAAATCAGTATTTAAAGAAATTTACTGATAACGTATGAATTGCGAATTAGGTGACTAACTCACGCAACATGAAATGTGTCTTTGTTTTGGAATTTTAATATTTTTTTTTCTTTAGTAGCAATTTAAAAATGCGAGATCTTTAAGAAAAAGCTAAAGCGCTTCAAAGATTCGAGCCAGCCAGGATTCGAACCTGGAATCTCCTGATCCGTAGTCAGGCGCGTTATCCATTGCGCCACTAGCCCACGGAAACGAAATCAATAATTACCTAAAATATTTTAATGCTGAAGTGTAAAATTAAATTGAAAATTTTGTACCAAGAGAAGTGTGTATTAAATATTGAGACTGCCATGATTTAAATCTGAAATTTACTGATATCATTTGAAATGCGAATTAGGTGACTAACTCACGCAACATGAAAAAACTACCTTTGTTTTGAAATTTCAATATTTTATCGTTAGTAGCAATTTAAAGTTGCGAGATCTTTATTAAAAGGCTAAAAGAGATTCGAGCCAGCCAGGATTCGAACCTGGAGTCTCCTGATCCGTAGTCAGGCGCGTTATCCATTGCGCCACTGGCCCACGGAAAGAATCAATAATTACCTAAAAATATTTTAATGCTGAAGTGTATTTTTAAATTGACAATTTGTACCAAGAGAAAGTGTGTATTAAATATTTGAAATGCGAATTAGGTGACTAACTCACGTAACATGAAAACTATCTTTGTTTTGAAATTTCAATATTTTATCGTTAGTAGCAATTTAAACTAAAACGCTTCAGAGATTCGAGCCAGCCAGGATTCGAACCTGGAAGTCTCCTGATCCGTAGTCAGGCGCGTTATCCATTGCGCCACTGGCCCACGGAAACGGAATCAATAATTACCTAAAAATATTTTAATGCTGAAGTGTTATTTTAAAATCGACAATTCTGTACCAAGAGAAATGTGTATTAAATATTAAGACTGCCAGGATTTAAGTCTTAAATTTACTGATACTATATGAAATACATGTAAGGTGACTAACTTACGTAACATGAAAACTATATCTGTTTTGAAACCTGAATATTTTTTCGTTAGTAGCATGTTAAAATGGCGATATCTTTTTATAAAAAGCTAAAGCGCTTTAGAGATACGAGCCAGCCAGGATTCGAACCTGGAATCTCCTGATCCGTAGTCAGGCGCGTTATCCATTGCGCCACTGGCCCACGTAAATGAAATACATACCTTTTTTAAAGCTATTACTATTTTAGTACTGAAGTAAAATGTTTAAATTGACAATTTTAAACCAATTGAAATGTGTATGAAATACTGAGACTGCCAGTATTTAAATCAGAAATTTACTGATAACGTATGAATTGCGAATTAGGTGACTAACTCACGTAACATGAAATGTGTCTTTGTTTTGGAATTTTAATATTTTTTCTTTAGTAGCAATTTAAAAATGCGAGATCTTTAAGAAAAAGCTAAAGCGCTTCAAAGATTCGAGCCAGCCAGGATTCGAACCTGGAATCTCCTGATCCGTAGTCAGGCGCGTTATCCATTGCGCCACTAGCCCACGGAAACGAAATCAATAATTACCTAAAAATATTTTAATGCTGAAGTGTAAATGTTTAAATTGACAATTTTAAACCAAGAGAAGTGTGTATTAAATATTGAGACTACCATGATTTAAATCTGAAATTTACTGATATCATTTGAAATGCGAATTAGGTGACTAACTCACGCAACATGAAAACTACCTTTGTTTTGAAATTTCAATATTTTATCGTTAGTAGCAATTTAAAGTTGCGAGATCTTTATTAAAAGGCTAAAACGCTTCAGAGATTCGAGCCAGCCAGGATTCGAACCTGGAGTCTCCTGATCCGTAGTCAGGCGCGTTATCCATTGCGCCACTGGCCCACGGAAACGGAATCAATAATTACCTAAAAATATTTTAATGCTGAAGTGTTATTTTAAAATCGACAATTCTGTACCAAGAGAAATGTGTATTAAATATTAAGACTGCCAGGATTTAAGTCTTAAATTTACTGATACTATATGAAATACATGTAAGGTGACTAACTTACGTAACATGAAAACTATATCTGTTTTGAAACCTGAATATTTTTTCGTTAGTAGCATGTTAAAATGGCGATATCTTTTTATAAAAAGCTAAAGCGCTTTAGAGATACGAGCCAGCCAGGATTCGAACCTGGAATCTCCTGATCCGTAGTCAGGCGCGTTATCCATTGCGCCACTGGCCCACATAAAGGAAATACATACCTTTTTAAAGCTATTACTATTTTAATACTGAAGTAAAATGTTTAAATTGACAATTTTAAACCAATTGAAATGTGTATGAAATACTGAGACTGCCAGTATTTAAATCAGAAATTTACTGATAACGTATGAATTGCGAATTAGGTGACTAACTCACGTAACATGAAATGTGTCTTTGTTTTGGAATTTTAATATTTTTTCTTTAGTAGCAATTTAAAAATGCGAGATCTTTAAGAAAAAGCTAAAGCGCTTCAAAGATTCGAGCCAGCCAGGATTCGAACCTGGAATCTCCTGATCCGTAGTCAGGCGCGTTATCCATTGCGCCACTAGCCCACGGAAACGAAATCAATAATTACCTAAAAATATTTTAATGCTGAAGTGTAAAATTAAATTGAAAATTTTGTACCAAGAGAAGTGTGTATGAAATACTGAGACTGCCAGTATTTAAATCAGAAATTTACTGATAACGTATGAATTGCGAATTAGGTGACTAACTCACGCAACATAAAAACTACCTTTGTTTTGAAATTTCAATATTTTATCGTTAGTAGCAATTTAAAGTT